CGTTAAAAAAACCAAAAAAAAAAAAAAAAAAAGATAAAAACCCTGGATTTGTTCAGGATAAAATAGGTTTGTCAATGTCTAGTACCACTAAGTACCACTAGAGACGTCCTGTATGTACTAAAAAAAAAAAAACATAAGAGCAAGTAATGCAGTAAAACAAATCACATCCATGAAAAGGTAACGTGTTATTTTTAGGCATAGACCAACATGACAGTATGCCTGTGCACAAAGTAAGGTACAAGTAAAGAAATGCTCTACTGAGCCTGGTCTAATTAATATAATAATTATATTACTTTTCAAAACTTTTCAACACAATGGAAGTACGCTTAGCATTATTTTCACTTTTAAGAGGCGCTCTTAAAAAAAGGCACGTAATACAATTAATTTAACAATGTTCATTTAAACACTTTTTGGACTTTTAACATTTAATTAAAACAATCATTCTCATTGAAACATGGCTCATGCATTTAAAATTTTCATCACTGATTTTATTTGCACTCAATGTTGTGCATTCAGCCAATATATTACACAACTAACGGCTATATCAAAACAGACAAACATGGATGAACTTTTTTGAGAGAAAAGGACCATTTATACCTCAATATGCTTTCTCAGATTTGATGGCAAACTTTTGAAGCCAGACATTTACCTGATGAACGTTTTAACTGAAGCTGAAATGTTGTTGTGTGAACAGAAATCTCATTGGTTCTCACACATCAAAAGCGTACGTTTGAGCTTCTGTTTAGCATATTTAATGCATGCAAGTACTTTTCAAAATGAAACAATAAATAAATAAATTTAAGGAGTAACAAGTGGTTTTTTTTCTTCAGAAATGTAATCAATTAAAAATACAAGTACCATACTTGAATAAAGTACAAATCCCCCAAAATAACTCAAGTATTTATTTACACCCCTAAGAACGTATGTGCTTTAAGTGGACCGACCTAAAAACTGCAGGATTTGAGGTCCTTATGATAACACTGTGTGAACAGACTTGCCTTAATAGACTTAAGTTTCTTGAACATGCACGGTTTCAGCGGTGAAGCACATAAGAACATACCATACATGGGATAGTAGCAGACTGAGGTCATCTCATCAAAACAGCATCCTGTGGCCAGGCACTCGTCTTGCGTTATACCCGAGGTGCCACACGACACTCTCTGATTGTCAGAGATACTGCAGCCTTAAAATAAAACCCCATGAAAAAGCAGAGTTAGTTTGAGAAAGACCAACACATCATAGCAATTTGTAGCCGTTTTGGTGAATTCGTATGAATTCACATGATCTCAGTTGTACGTTACTCTACAACCTTGCTCTCTAAAAATCATCCATTTTCATATGATTAACATAATACGAATTAAAGGGGTTATATGATGTTGCTAAAAAGAACATTATTTGGTGTATTTGGTGTAATGAAATGCGTTTATGCGGTTTACGGTTCAAAAAACATTTTCCACATACTGTACATTATTATTTCTCCTCTATGCCCCGCCTTTCTGAAACATGTCGATTTTTACAAAGCTCATCGGTCTGAAAAGTGAGGTGTGCTCTGATTGGCCAACTTCCTCTTTTGGAAGACCAAAGTAGTTTCGCTTTCACAACGAAACCGCGTCTCACACGGCTGGAGTGAGCGGAGGCTGGGGGCCTAGAGTGAGCGGAGGCGGGCTTGCGGCAACCACATGTGACGACCCCGGGCTGGACTCCGCTTCGTCTCCAACCAATCAGGTTGGAAAAGCACAGCAGCTTTAGCGCAAAAGTGAGCTGTACACAAGGGTTTCGTGTTCACCTCCCGGTGTGCTGTTCAGCAGCAGTGGATATGGTGGGGAAAGGGGAGGTGATGACTTGGATGGTTGTGTAGGGGGCAGTTTTGCACAAACTGGCATCTGATCTGACTGCACACTCAGATGTTTAAGGGAAGCAGTGAGACTTTGGTTTGCATCACAAGACATCCAACTGTCCGTTTTCATCTGGGTAGAGGACCCTCAGAGTGTAATGGCCATCCTAAAGACAGAACAATGGTAAAAAAAACAAAAAAAAAAACTGTGCACCTCTTTTGTTTGACAGACGCCTAGAGGAGAGAGGTTAAAATAAAACTGGGAAATCAACTGAAAAAGGTCTCAGAGGTGGAACAAGATATTACATTCTGATGAAACAAACATTTTTCTTTGGAATAACATGCACTGACCCATTTTGCAATAGGACCATGAATGTGTATATAGATAAACAGATTGTTCACCCAAAAATAAAAAATTCAACATTAACTCACCCTTTTGCCATTCGAAACCTGTAAGCATATCTTTCTTCTGTGGAACACATTTTGATGGTCAGGGTTCAAACAACATTGATTTTTACTGTATAGACTTTTTGTACAGGTTTGGAAAGACATAACGGTGAGTAAATAAACATTTATTTAATAACCGACTTGATGTGAAATTTAAGAGCAGAAATGTTTCCATAACTTTATTAATACCTCCAAGATGACATGACAGCCAGCGTAGTCAACAACCAAAATATTTTGGCCATGGCCTTGTGTCAGTGAGTATCCACAGGCCGCTGGGGCCCCAAGCACAGATTCAATTACTGAAACACCTGAAAATATTTATAAACATTCAGATGGCAGAAATCGAAATGTTAATTAAATGTACATGTATGAAAACATAAACGGCTATACTAGCACTTACCCAAAATCTTAACCTGACTGAGAGAACCAGCTGGCAAAATCACTTTCATAGTATCATTGTTACAGTAAACTGCCAGTTTTGATTTCATCACCTGTACACTCTCTTGAGTTGCCACTTCTGAGTGATCAGCTTCAACACCAGAATAATCATCATCTATGCTTGAAGAAGGATCTAAAGTAGAGATCGGCGTTGAACCCTGTGACAGAGCCAAATCAATGCAACACAAAACCAGAATTAGTGTTTTCACACCCTGCCAAGCCATGTGTGCTTAAAACTTAGCAAAAGATGGGACGGACAATAAAGAATAGCGCTGCAAAAATCAGATCAGAGGGAACTTCATTCATAACACCTGCCTCCAGCAGTTTCAGCATAATAGGTTGTTTGCAATCACGTGATTCTGATGACGCGCGAAATGCAGCTGGAGGGCACAGCTGGGAAGTGATTTTTCACCATAGAAATCACTAGCAGAAACTCAAAATGCCAGTGTTTTGCGTTGTTTATGGATGCTCAAATAGGCCAAACCGAGAAACCACACGGAGCCAAGAAGTCAAAAGTCAAGAAATTTACTGAAAAACGCAGGAAAAAGTGGCTTGTAAACCTGCGTCTGCGGTCGGGAGGAGCAAAGCCGGATAATGCTCGTGTGTGCAAATGGTTAATATAAAATAATATATTAAAATATAAATAAAGAAATATATAAATAGATACAGGGCGACACTGTCAGAATTCACTGAATGCTAAACGCCACACATAGACACGATGTAAATAAGATTTTGTTTGCAGTTCTGAGAGCTTCATATCACGGAATCGTGAGATTGCGATCAATTGAAGTGAGTGACAGCTTTTTAGTGATTAACGTTAGATGAAAGCGCTATTTGCTCGCTTTCTAGGCTACAATCGATTCAGAATTTAAATAAAAGTTGTTTTACTTGCTGCTAACAGGACCAACAGCCACATACCTTAACTTGCATGCAGCAAAGTTTCAGGAGTGACATATATTCCACATCCCTCATATAAATACGGGATTCACTTTCGAAATAGCTGGTTTACAATCAGGGTTAGTTGCTTAGCCTATATCCACCGCCTCAATGGCAGGCAAGAATTTGAATTTAGTTTAAAAATCGCTCCTCTTTATAACATAAAGATCACGTCCAACATGCTGTGATTATAACTTTCTCTTGTAATAGCGTGGTGGTTGAAGAGAGATCCCCTCAT